TTTCCCTTTATTAATCATTATTTATTTTTATTATAGAATTTATTATATTTTTTAAGCCCCCTGATGTATCATGAATATTTCCAAAATATATATGAAAGTTATATGAAAAATTGTTCAACATTAATTTTGTAAAACAACAAAGGTCTTTGACTTTAAGATATAACACTCCTTAATTGTGTAAATTATGTTTAAAGTATCACTATTTACCAATCATACAGAGTTTTGGTTATTGCCCCTTTAAGTTTTGGTTATTGCCCCATGCTGATCTGGTTTTTAACTTGGGTAAGTGCCCTTACCCAAGTTAAAAACCAGATCAGCATGGGGGCAACCAACCATATCTTTCATTTTTTTAAGAAACAACTTAAAATCAGTTGTAACCATTAAATATGATATTAGGCAGGTTAGGGAAGTGCTGGTTTCCAAAGGTTAATGCGTTCAATCCTTGATAATTGAAAAATAGGGTTATTTTAAAATGCTGCCTTTTTTGTTATGAATGCAACAAGTAATAGTAATAAATGTTTGCATTTTCAGATAATTGGATCTTATGGTTTTAATTGATGTTAGCTTAGATCAATACAAAGTGTTAGAAAAATTACGAGCATTTCAAAATGGCTGAAAATAGGACTTTTTTGGTAAATATACATACCATAATCTACATAATGTAGATTATGGTATGAAAATTGAAAACTCTTAACAATCAATTAATGCAGTACAGAAATGAGTTGATTGAGAAATCAAATGAAATTATTGAACTTATAAAAAATAGATTTGGTAAAAATGTTTCATACTAAAATTTTGATAAGATAAACAGATAAATTTATTTCTGGCTTTTATCAAACTTTATTCATGTAGCTCTTTCACAGAATTAAAAGCCACAGAAGTAAAACAAAAATTCACTGACAATTGTTGTTGGAGGACCATCTCCTAATTGTATTTATAAAGTTTAGGATTAACTTTATAAATACAGATCAAGGATTAACATATTATATTTTAATAAAAAATTTAAAGACTGTGTTTTCATATTAACGATGAAATAAATTCTGCTACAGCAATACTAAGATACTTTTACAAAAGGCATACAACAATTATATTGAGGTGATACAAATAGACTGCTATCAAATGTTCATATATACTGGTCATTATATGTGTTCTTGTTAATTTAAGTACGAGTGTAGTTTATTGATTAGTATAAATGTAGTTTTATAAAGAAGCAATTTAAATCTAAAAATATTTAAAAAACATTGAAGAAGGGTAATACTTTTAATTAGTTTTACAATCTTCGATTAGCATTTAGTACTTTTAATTGGCTTTACAATCTTCGATTAGCATTTCGAACTTTTAATTGGCTATACAATCTTCGATTAGCATTTTGAACTTTTAATTAGTTTTACAATCTTTGATTAGCATTTAGTATTTTTAATTGGTTTTACAATCTTCGATTAGTATTTCGTACATTTAACTACTTTTACAATCTTCGATTAGCATTTAGTACTTTTAATTAGTTTTACAATCTTCGATTAGCATTTCGAACTTTTAATTAGTTTTACAATCTTCGATTAGCATTTAGTACTTTTAATTGGCTTTACAATCTTCGATTAGCATTTAGTATTTTTAATTGGTTTTACAATCTTCGATTAGCATTTCGAACTTTCAATTAGTTTTACAATCTTTGATTAGCATTTAGTATTTTTAATTGGTTTTACAATCTTCGATTAGCATTTCGAACTTTTAATTAGTTTTACAATCTTCGATTAGAATTTAGTACTTATAATTAGTTTTACAATCTTCGATTAGCATTTCGAACTTTTAATTGGCTTTACAATCATCGATTAGCATTTAGTATTTTTAATTGGTTTTACAATCTTCGATTAGCATTTAGAACTTTTAATTAGTTTTACAATCTTTGATTAGCATTTAGTACTTTTAATTGGTTTTACAATCTTCGATTAGCATTTAGTATTTTTAATTGGTTTTACAATCTTTGATTAGCATTTCGAACTTTTAATTGGTTTTACAATCTTCGATTAGCATTTAGTACTTTTAATTGGTTTTACAAACTTCGATTAGCATTTAGTACTTTTAATTAGTTTTACAATCTTCGATTAGCATTTAGTACTTTTAATTGGTTTTACAATCTTCGATTAGTATTTCGTACATTTAACTACTTTTACAATCTTCGATTAGCATTTAGTACTTTTAATTAGTTTTACAATCTTTGATTAGCATTTAGTATTTTTAATTGGTTTTACAATCTTTGATTAGCATTTCGAACTTTTATTTAGTTTTACAATCTTCGATTAGCATTTAGTATTTTTAATTGGTTTTACAATCTTCGATTAGCATTTAGTACTTTTAATTGGTTTTACAATCTTCGATTAGCATTTAGTACTTTTAATTAGTTTTACAATCTTCGATTAGCATTTAGTACTTTTAATTGGTTTTACAATCTTCGATTAGTATTTCGTACATTTAACTACTTTTACAATCTTCGATTAGCATTTAGTACTTTTAATTAGTTTTACAATCTTTGATTAGCATTTAGTATTTTTAATTGGTTTTACAATCTTCGATTAGCATTTCGAACTTTTAATTAGTTTTACAATCTTCGATTAGCATTTAGTACTTATAATTAGTTTTACAATCTTTGATTAGCATTTCGAACTTTTAATTGGCTTTACAATCATCGATTAGCATTTAGAACTTTTAATTTTTTTTACAATCTTCGATTAGCATTTAGTACTTTTAATTAGTTTTACAATCTTCGATTAGCATTTAGTATTTTTAATTGGTTTTACAATCTTTGATTAGCATTTCGAACTTTTAATTAGTTTTACAATCTTCGATTAGCATTTAGTATTTTTAATTGGTTTTACAATCTTCGATTAGCATTTAGAACTTTTAATTAGTTTTACAATCTTTGATTAGCATTTAGTACTTTTAATTGGTTTTACAATCTTCGATTAGCATTTAGTATTTTTAATTGGTTTTACAATCTTTGATTAGCATTTCGAACTTTTATTTAGTTTTACAATCTTCGATTAGCATTTAGTATTTTTAATTGGTTTTACAATCTTCGATTAGCATTTCGAACTTTTAATTAGTTTTACAATCTTTGATTAGCATTTCGAACTTTTAATTGGTTTTACAATCTTCGATTAGCATTTAGTACTTTTAATTGGTTTTACAATCTTCGATTAACATTTAGTACTTTTAATTAGTTTTACAATCTTTGATTAGCATTTAGTACTTTTAATTGGTTTTACAATCTTCGATTAGCATTTAGAACTTTTTTTTTTTTTTTTTTATTCTAACACAAGCAAAATGAAATTTTTGTAAAATTGCAAGGTATCACTTTATCAATAATTTTGTAAAATTGCAAGATATCACTTTATCGATAATTTTGTAAAATTGCAAGGTATCACTTTATCAATAATTTTGTAAAATTGCAAGGTATCACTTTAACAATCATTTTTTAAAATTGCAAGGTATCACTTTATCAATAATTTTGTAAAATTACAAGGTTTTTTGGAAGGAAGATCTGCACCTTTTTTAATTTCTAAAGTAAAGCTCTTTTTATCTTTAGCTTCAGTAGAGAATACAAGAAAATCAGCCTAAAATCCAGTCATACATGAATATTTAGCAGTTAATACCCAATTAAGTTCTTTCTCAAAACAAGTCTATACATCATAGATTACATCATAGATTACATCATAGATATTTTTGCTGTTCTGTCATTAACTTGGTGAAACCAATAATAAAATATAAAAATAATATTTGACATTTTGTTATAAAACCTTACTGCATATAGCCACAAGTGAAATATACTTATGATGTAATTTAATGCATAATTTATATGCATTAAATTAAATAAATAATGTAAATTATGCATTAAATTATACATTAAGCTCTGATTGATTCTTTTGTGTATATGTTAGGTGTATCAATTAAATGGTAATATTTTGCCATGTAATGTTTGGTAAATGATTGACTTTGTTGCTTCATTTATTAGGTCGATTGTAAATGAATCCAGTAAAACTTCCCTATTTTTAAGAGTTAGCTTCATTGTTTACTTTATTACATCTTCTAATTTTAGGCCCATAAATATTCATTCAAGATATTGTTAACTATTTTAAAAAACTTTGTTTATCTTACTTTTTTTCAAATAGTAAGATAAATTTTAAAAGAATTTTATTTTATTGTTTCAGCGCCTGAATTTGAAATTTGTAGATGATCATCTGTTTATAAGTTTTTTAAATAAAAGATACTTAAAAACTTTATTTTTTCAAAATTATAAAAGCATTTACAGCATATTAAAAAAAAATGAAATTAATTTTTTATTTTTAATTTCTGTTTTAATTAATAATTTCTGTTTTAATTAATAATTTCTGTTTTAATTAATAATTTCTGTTTTATCAACAAATTTATCTAGGGATTAGCACAGCAGAGTGAAAACATACATACATCAACTGAAAACATACATACATCAACTGAAAAATAGAAGTAACATATGAGAAGTGTACATACATCTACAGATAGTTTTGGTTTGGAGAAGCAGTTTATCAAATAAAAATATTGTTTTTAAGTTTTTAAATTTTTTTTAAAAAACAACATGTTTAAACATCATGTTGTTTCTTTAAGGTTTAAAAACAACCAAGAAACGTTTACATTTTATAGTAAAATTAAAGAAGACCATCCAAATAAGTGAAATTAATAAACAAAAAAACAGTATTTTTTATTATCAGAGAGAAATGATGTAATTTTTTTTGAAATGGGTTAACTTAAATTCAAATAAAGTTTTTAAATCTTCAAGATTTTTTGAGATAAACTAAACTACATTTGTACTAAACTATATATATTTTATACATGTAGTATCAAATCTACTTTCTTTATGAGTATTCAAAGTCTGAATCCATAAATATGGGTATATGGGGCTCAACATTTAACATTGTAAAATCTTTTTAACAAGTTTTTAAAAATAAAGAAAGACTTAATTACATTACCTTTTATTTGCAAAGAATCACATGGTTTGGATTGGTCAGATAGTTTAAAGTAAGACTCTAAAAATTGATAAAGAAAAAAATTACATTTTTCAATTAAGAAATGTTTATTTGTTTTACACAATGTATTTATTCATAAATCTAATATTCCATTAATGGGATATTAGATTTATGAATAAAGTTTTGATTTGATTTAAATAATACTTGCAAACTCCTCTACTATTTCTTTTAGATCAAAGCGTTTCATAGCAGACAATGCTTCTTTTAACTCTTCAAGTGTTGAATTTTGCTGTCTTGTCCATTTTGTTAGCATTTCATATGCTTGATTTACTGTCCCGGAACAGCCATCTTTTATAGCTTCTAATTCATTATCACTAACTGATAAATATCGTCCAAGTACTATCCAGCTCGTTCCCAAACTCTGACTTAATTCCATCTTAAACTTTTGATTTTTAATTAAATCCATATTAAAATAGAAAGTTACTTTAACATGGTCTTCTAAAAAAAAAAAATTAATATAACAAAAATACTGTTATGAGTGTGAGTGTTCAGCATTTTCTATAATATATTATAAATGGTAAAAATTACTAGCTAAAAAATTACTAGCTTATCATAAATTATGATAAGACAGACAACTGCCTGGCTTTAAGTATAAAACAAAAATTTTTTTAAGGGCTTTCTAAAGTGCATTTTTAACGAAACACTTAAAAAAAGTTATTTAAAAGGCTCGTTTATAACGTTATTTATAACATGACACTTTAAAACAAGGCCCATTATAATTTTTTATTTTTATTGTTTCGGAATTTCAAACAAAATGGAAATTCTGCAGAATAAGCAGCGCTATCAAGCGCAAACGTAAAAAGTGTGACGCAAAAATTATTACACTTAAAAAATTTTAATATAAACTACCAAAATATTTTGATCTTCTGGAAAATTATTTGATCGCCTACTTTTCAATATTTATTTTTTAGCCAATCAGTGTTGATCGGCTACCTCTAAATAATTATTTTGAGCGCTGCATATTCTAAAACTCAGTTTAATGCTTCTAAGATTAGCTGGTAGTTAGGTTTCCTAACTTCTGTGGTTTCCTAACTTCTGTGCTTTCAAAAAGTTCATTAACAGCTTTAAAATATCAGAGTATTCACAATGCCATGATGCGCATTGATGCTTTCCCTAGTTGTGCTTTTTGTGTGCACTGTTGAGACCATATAAGGAGCCCTAAGTTATGACTTTAAGTTATTAATTAGCAGGACTGAGGCAACTGCATAGCTGATCAAAGATGATCATAGATGATTCTCTTGATGCTCTATCTACAAATGAGTCAAGTTCTCTTTTTCATCTCAGTATTGATGGCTTTTATCCTTTAATTTACAAAGTCTCTAATAAGCACAGGTTTGGCTTAGGCATATACTAATGCATCAATCCACTTACTTGTCAAGAAATCAGGTTTGAAATCTCTGATTATTATTTTATGAGCATCCTTTTAATATCTCTTCAGCCAATCACATTTCAATCACAAACCTCTTCAATCAATCACATTTCCCTTTGTTTTTTATTATTCTCTTTTGTCTCAAAACTACTCAAAACTGTTGACTTTTTTTTTAAAAAAAAAAAAAAAGTTTTGGTCAAAAACAGACCATTAAATAAAGAAGATTTCTATGTTAAGCCAATAATATCATTCAATATTTAAAGTATTGCAAACCAAAATAAAGCATAAAAACATACAAATATAAAAATATATATTCACAGCATGTACTTATTACATGTTCTACCTATCTGTCAATCAATATAACAACATTCCTCATATATTTACCTTTTGTCAGCCATTGCATGTAAATCGTAAAAAAAAATAAAAACATTCAAAATGTTTTTATTTAAAAAAAATAAACAAAAACAATCTGTATGTTTTTAAAAACATACTTTTTTAATTAGCATTTTTGTTGTAATTTAAAAAACTATAAAGTAGTTTCCTCGATTAAATTAATGTGTTTTGACAAAATCTGCACCTAATTTTGTCTTAAAACAATAAGTTTAAGATCTTTACTATATATATATATATATATATATATATATATATATATATATATATATATATATATATATATATATATATATATATATATATATATATATATATATATATATATATATATATAAAAATCGTAAAAAAAATAAAAACATTCAAAATGTTTTTATTTAAAAAAAATAAAATATAAAAAATATATATATATATATATATATATATATATATATATATAAATCGTAAAAAAAAATAAAAACATTCAAAATGTTTTTATTTAAAAAAAATAAAATATAAAATATATAAATATATTTATATATATATATATATATATATATATATATATATATATATATATATATATATATATATATATATATATATAGTCAGCAAAATTAAGGTAGGCATTTTACAATGCTGACATAAAAATCGACCTATCTTTGCTTTAGGACGGCATACAACTGCCAACCTGAATATTCTAAAGTGTCGGCATGCAAATTAAAATACATGTAAAAAGTATATAATATTCGTTTAACATTATTTTATAATTTTTTTAATGTAATAAAAAAAGCAGACACAAACACCCTCACATATATAGTTCAAACTATGTTGCTTTTCAAGTTTCACATGTTTTATTAAAAAAAAAAATTCATTCATTTTTTTTCAATTCATTTTTTTTTTTTTCTTAAATTTATTCAAGCATAGCAAAATAAAAAACATTACTTTTTAAATGCCTGTTGTTCTCACAGTTTTTAAAGCACAATTATTTTTTTATTTAGTTATAAAATCTAATTTTAATTTATTTTATTAGTTAAACCATTTAACTAATTTACATAATTAACATGTTTACAGTTTTTTTAATAATCATTAGGATCAGAAAGTATATTAGGAAAGTTTAGCTTTGGTATAGTTATGTTAAACACATGCAATGAAGAAACATTAGATACAAAACCTTTTTTTAATTGGATAGAAGTTAAGTCTTCCATTAAATCGCAACAGGCGCAACAGTAATATAGTAAACAAACTCAAAAAAACAAGTCATAATGCCTAACAGAACTGTCATTCAAAAATGGGGGTTTAAATCCTGCGGATTTCAAATTGATGATTCAGGTGAAGTAATTTTAATATGGTGTAAAACTTGCCGAGAGTATTCAGAGCTTTTAAAAAATTGTCATAATAAAAATAAAGGCTGTGCTAAAATAGCAATATAAACGTTTGTACGGGGAACATCAGTTATATATAAAAAAAAACTTTTCAGACCATATTTTACGTTCTCATACACATGTGGCAGCTGTTTTAAGATAGAGTGAAACGGAGAAAAAAACTCCTGATACTATAAACTCCAACAAAGAAAGTGCTGCTGATTCCTCTGACAGTGGTGAAGTCCAAACAACACTGGGACCTTATATAAGATGGCTTAACGCTGAACAGCATCAGCAATTAGTTAAAAAGATGCAATTGGCACACTATACGGTTGTTAATGCTGATTTGCTGAAGTTGTATGGATCTTTAGTTATATCTTGCAAAACTAAATTAAAAGTAAATGTTTAAAAATGTTTTAGTAAAGTTGTTTTAGTATCTTTTTAAAAAATTTTAAGATTTATAATGTAGTTAAATAGTAATCATAATTTTTGAGAATCTTAGAACTTGGCATCTTAGAACTTCTTAGTAGATTTTTAAAATTTTTCAGATTGATCTTGGCACTACTTATTTATATGAGAAAGCTCGTGCGGAAATGGTAGAATACTTAAATAAAATTAAGACCATCACCGAACCATTAAATAGTGGCAAGATACAATATTACAGTGTTATGAATGATAGTAGCAGCTCTGCAAAAACATTGGATGAAAAGGAGTTGTTTCTAATGAAAATACCAAATGAAGGTAACTTTCTGTTATTTAATAAAATCCAGTAAAAAGCTGTAGTTAATATTAAATTATTAAAAAAAAATGAAATAGCAACTATAAAAATATACAACTAAAAAGTGTTTTGTGTTATTATCCTAATGAGTGTCAGTTTTACATTTAAATTTCCAATTTAAATTTAAAACTGAAGTTAGACTTCAACACCACTTTTTTAGAGGTTTAAAATTAGGTTTAAAATTAGCCATCACAAACATCCTACATATAGTGAAATTATCCATTGCAATGCCAACTTCCAATTCAGAAACGGAAAGAGTATTTCATTTTTGAGAGGATTAATTTCTAATGATTGCCAAAATATTTCTAATAAAGGGTTAGAAAGCATTCTCCGTTTAAAATGCGCAAAAAGTTTTGACGAAACACTTTATGATCACGCTGTAGAATTATTTTTGAACCAATATCCAAATGGCGTAAGAAATAATCCAAGGCGGATACAGAGCCATACTAATGTTAAGAAGTCAAAAATACGCAAAGCAAAACAACTTCAGTAATGACTGCTTTGCAAACCTTTGTTTCTTCTGACAGTGAATCTTCCGATCAAAAAAATTTGATTTCTAATTTAAGCAATATTTCTGATGATTGGACAGAAAACTTTGATGAGTAAATTATGAAAACACATCAATAAGACACTCGCCATTACGCAGAAACAATTTTTATATATACCAAAAAAAAACTAGTTTTAGTATTTTTAACTTATGTTTTCCCTATTAATTTACATATAGTTACAAATTCATACTTTACTACAATTAAATATAGAAAAACACCACCCTTACAACTGAAGAATTAACTGCTTATTTCGCGTAGAGGTTAAACAACCGGGTGTAAACTGTCTACTCATTTTATTAAAAAATTTGCCGTTTTAAACAAAATCTTTGCTATTATAAAGCAATCCTTTTATAATCAATTAATCATTACCCCTATTATAACAGAAAGCAAAAAACCCAATATTTTTTTTTGCCGATCTGACGTCGGCTAAGGTCGGCACGCTTGTGCCAACCTGAAATCCTTTAAATTTCGCTGACTGTATATATATATATATATATAGGCCCGGCAGAAGGCAGGCCCTAAAGTATTAGGGGCTCCAGACGATAAAAGACAAAAAAAAAATCATAATAAGATTTTTGTTACAAAAAAGTAAAATATTTGTTTTTATTAATGAGGAATAAAATAAATTTACTTGGCGGTGTACATAGCAAATAATTTTTTGTAGCTGAGTATTGCAATTGATTTTTCACTATCTTCCAGACTAGCTAGAGCTCTGAATCCAGGGTTGCAAAAAAACTGTTTTTTTTTTGAAAAAAATCAAAAACCATATAGGTTTATTTTAACTTGAATATTATTGATAACAACCAAAATAGGTTTTTTTTTATAAAACCAAAAAAATTTAACCAAAAAAACCATGGTTTTTTAGGTTAAACTAGGTCTTTACTAAATAATGCAGTGTTTAGTTATCCTTTTAAATTAAAAAAAACATAACGTATTTTATTTGAGTAAACTATATTCTTTATCAATATTACTGTTTTATTTCATCAAAATTATTCAATATATCATTGATTAATGTTCTATATATAAATACAAGCTTTGCTGCTTTTTCTACCCCCCCCCCCACCCAATTGGTTTCTTAACTTAGAATGAACAAGACCAAAAGTTGAAAAAATTCTTTATATTCCAGCACTAGAAGCTGGTACATTTAATAAACCTTCAATATCCATTATGTTATAATCCACAATTTTCAGAGATTTCCACCATTCTATTGGTGATACATTTTTTAAAACAGATTCACTATACAAATAGCTTTAATTGAATGGAGTAGATTTGACTTTTAGTTTGAATATTATTGGTAACAAATTCTTGAACTCTATATCTGCAAAACTCATGACAGCTTCATTTTCATTTTCAGAAAGATTAAATCCAAAATATCTAGGATCTAGTGTGTTAGGTATCTAGATTCATTTTTTTTTTTTTTTTTTTTGGATAAAAATGATAAACTGTTCATCGAATCTTTAAAAATTTCAACACTTATTCTTGTTTGATCTCTTTGCAACTTATCTAGAGCTATTGCAATTAATTTTAATACTTTCAATAAATTTTCTGTGTTTCGCTTTATCTGCATATCACTTACTTTTTTACCAATCATGAGATCCAAGTCTTTATTTTTTTCAAACATTGTGAAAATGATGCTTCAGTTGTTGACATATTTTTTCAAGTGAATCACATACAGAATTCCAGCGAGTTTCAGTAGGAAGTGGCAATTTTGTTTCTCCACTTAATTTATAAATTGCTCCAGCTTGATGATTATTTCTTATATATTTTAATATTTGTGTAACATGCTTGCTCACATTTTCAATGTTATAATCATTTGCTAAAAGATTCAGCATATGAGCAGCACACCCATAAGTTATGATAATATCTCTTTCAGATGACAATACTTGTCTCATTGATTTCATATTAGCTGCCTTGTCAGTCACAAAGCTTTTTACTGTGCATCCAAATTTACGTCTTACAGAATCTATTGCTTCTCTTGCTAATTGTGTAAGATATTCACCAGTATGTGAATGACCAGAAGTGTTGATTAGTTTCTACTAAAATGTTAATTTTATCTGTAATTACAGAGATACAAACTATAGGTTCATTATGTACATTACTCCAGCCATCTAAAGACATGGCTACAATTTTCCCATTACATTTTTCAATTTCTTCTGTGTAAACCCTATCTAATATTTCTCCTTCAATTTGAGTTCTTTTAGGTATTATTAGAGTGATTTTCGTAGCTTGATCTTTAGATTATGTTATGTTTTTTGATAAAAATAATGGGAAGAGTTGATCTTAACCATTTGCAATCATGTGTGTTTGAGACGTTGGAGGGGGGCTTTTTTTTTAATTATGTACATTAAATATTAAACATTTTTGTAATTGTACATTTTTTATTTAAAGAAAGACTATTTTATAGTTTTTATCCAAAAAATTTTATAAGTTGTTTTAGATTTTAAACAATTATAAGCTACAACCATTAAGTTTGCTTCTCCGTCTACTTTAGTTTCTAAAAGTTTCAATGAGGTCTTGACTAGAGTTAGAAGCACGTTCTGCACTGCAATGTAGAACAGAAAGACCAGTGACAAATTTTTTTAATCTTTTAAAACATGGAAATAAGTATAATAATATATAGCAATATATACACATAGCTCATAGCCACAATAAGTTTCAGTTTGATGAACTGGTTTTCAGCCATTCTATCTAAAGTAATGTCATTTTTAACAAACAACATTTTAAATCAAATAAAAAAATCAGTTTTCAGGTCCAAAAAATCTTTAATTGTTATATAACTTGCAGACTTTTCTGTTTTACCTAATTCAAGAGCTAATTTATGAAATTACTTAACGGATAATGAATAAAAATAGGCACAATATACTTTTTAAATTTTCTAAAAGGATGGAGATACTGTCTAACTTATTATCTCCATTATTGCAAGTATCTAAACATTTTATTGTCTCCTCAAATTTTTTACCAACCAACCTTGTTTGTTTCCTAATGGACTCTTATAACCTATAAATTTTTTTATTACTTCACTTTCTATTTTGCAAAAAAATTTTTGCGCAACATTTTTTGAACATGTAATCTTTTTTGATCATTGAGAAAATTTACATCTTTTTGTCTACTTTTTAAAACTTGTTTTTTATCTTTAAAGATGATGAGTTTTTTTATTTTTCATTAAATAAATCTTTCTCTTTTAAAACCACATTTTTGACTTATGCTTTTTAAGTCAACATTCTTGCCTCTAAATGTAAAAAGTAAAAGTAAAAGAATTCATAAAAAGATACTGCAAATAAAAACATTTATATATTGACATTTTTATCATAAAAACATATTAATATATTATTAAGTCAATTGGACTGAATTGTAAAATTATAAGCATTTTACTATAATATAGTAAACATCTGATATGTAAGTATTTTCTTTACCTAATAATGGTATGTATGGTATGCACATGTTAATTTTTTTTTGGGAGGTGGGTAGGGGAGGGGGTTCCAAAAATCATATGAACGCGTACAAAGGGGAAGGGGGTGTTGAAGACAGTGAGCACATACGCGGTTTGACTATCTCTCCTAAATTTGATTTTTAACATTTAATTTCAGGTGTTTAACAAATCAGAAATGTGTTTTTTTTCTGACTTCAGTCACAATTTTTTTTTTAATTTCTTTATAAAAAATGAGGAGAGAAAAAAGCAATCAAGTTAATTTTGAAAAAAAAAATAATGCATTTGTACGCAGGGGAAGGGGGTGTCTTCAAAAAAATACAGGTTCGTAAAAGAGGGGAAGGGGTCCCGAATCAGAAGTTTTACTGCGTATGTACTTTATAGATGCCCCCTTACAAAAAAATTTAAAAAACTTCACAAAATTCTTTTTTGACTCCTCCCCTTCTCCTCCCACTATCAACAACCCATTGAAACATTTAGAAACAAAAGAAGACAGAGAACCAAACTTAATGGTTGTAGTTTATAATTGTTTAAAATTCAAAACAACTGATAAAAAATCTTGGATAAAAACTAAAAAATAGTCTTTCTTTAAATAAAAAATATACAATTACAAAAATGTTTTATATTTAATGTACATATTGAAAAAAAAAAAAAAAAAAACCCTCCAACCTCTCAAACACATGATTGCAAATGGTTATGATCAACTCTTCCCATCATTTTTACCAAAAAACAAAACATAATCTAAAAATAGATAGATCAAGCTATGAAAATAACTCTCACGGTATTTTTGAAATTTTGTTAAGTGACCCTGCCCCTACCATAAATGCAAAAACCTAAATTTTTTGCATTATTAGACAACTGGGACTAAATTTTCATCTGCACTGGTGGGGGAGTTTTTTTCCGATTTGGAAAAAAGTATTATTATTTTAAGTTAATACAAGTAAAAGTTCATCTTTTGTCGCTATGTCATTTCTGAAAAAAATGAAATATGTTTTTTAGTCATACCCCTAGTATACATATATATAAAAATATGTATATATATATATATATATATATATATATATATATATATATATATATATATATATATATATATATATATATATATATATATTGTTAAGAAAACTTCCTTATGAAATAACTTCATCAGGAAGCAATGCTTTAAGATAAACCTATTGATTACTCATTTATTACTGCTCTATTCTGTAAAAACACTGATGACTTTATTCTATGAAAAAAAAAAAAATCATGGATTTAAAAAAATATATCTTTATTGAAGATTAGTTATATTTGTCAACATAACCCTGTTTTACTTTCCTGTTGTAAGTTTAAAAAAAGATTAGTTTGGTTTAAACCAACATTTTTTAAATTGGTTTAAACCATTTGGTTTAAACCATGCAATCCTGTCTGAAACTTTTAGCATTTCTGTAGTGCCTATGAACATGCATGTTAAAGTTGTTTTCAGGGCCCAAAACACTTAAATATTATTATTTTGCATTTTTAATAAAGTAAAGATAACTTTGAAAATATTGTCTTCAAAAATTTTTTTATTGGTTTATATTTTTTTCATTTGATTTTTGATCATTCCTAAAAATACCAACAATTTAAAACAATACAACAATACTAAGACAACAACAATTGAAGAATACTAAAAGATATTTTCAAAGGCAATAAACAAGTAAACATTCATTGAAAAATGTTGAGCAAGAGCAAGATACCAAAGATAAAATTAGAAAAAAGACTGTTGTATTGTCTTGGGTGATTTTGCAGAAAACTAGATATTTGGGTTTCACGATAAAATCCAAAGTTGTCATTGGTGGCAATGTCAATTCATGGTACACCTTGTTGCCTTTTGTTTATTAAACAAAAACAACCAGCTTAAAGAAAAATCATTTTGCTTAATGTCAGATGGTAATGAGCATTTTTAATCTTTGTCCATTAAGAAGATTTTGACATTGATGCAGAGTGGACATATTTTGCTACAAGTCATGGTAAGTCACCATGTGATGGTATTGATGACACAGTAAAACAATTACCTGTAAATGCAAGTCTGCAAAGCCCCATAAATGACCATATATTGAATTGTAATAAAATGTTTGACTGGTGTAAAAAAAATATTAAATGGATTATTTTTTACAAGATTGAAAAAGTAAGACTGACATAAATTGCGCCCCGCTTTTAAAAAATGTTTTCGGCTAAGTAAAACAATTCTTGGAACTAGCAGCTATCACCAATTTAACCCAGAATCTGTAAATACTATGAGCTTTAAACGAAAATATGAAGATTTTATTAGAAGATTTTAATAAAACAGGCATGTTTCCTTTTTCTGATATTCAAAGTATTTAACCTTATAAGCAAATTAACATCAATATATTAAAATTTTGTAAATTTGTTCTGTGTAAATTAAATATGTGCCAGAACCAGTTTATACCAAATTCCCATTACGGGTACCCAAAAATGAAAACCGTGTCCGAGTCCAGGTACCTGGCCACATGGGCTTCTTGAGCATTAAAAAGTCCAGGTATCTAGCCACATGGGTTCCTTGATATACACAAGGTTATAATTTTAGGCTATATATATTGTTATATAATGTTTATAACCTTAAACTACCATGTAATCAAAAATAATTTTTTAGTAAACTAAGTAAAAATCATGATTCTAGAATGTTTACAACTAGAGCTGCACATAAATCATTACAAGACACACAAAATGATTCAAACCAAGAAAAATACATTAGTTTGATAAAAAATTTGCAAAATTTTTTGATAAATAATGGTTTGCAGAACAAGATCCATGCTTTGGAGACAGTGACATTAGACAATTAGAAAAAACTTTCAATACTTGTGAAAGTACAGCAGTCCAAGGATTTCGCGAGTACTTTGCCACTGATGACTAAAATAAAATTCCTAATGATCTTCAGCCTCTGAGCAATGCTATAAATACCTTGATTGTTTCTAAAGCTGAATGCAAGCATTCTTTTCCTACTATGAATATAATCCTGCCTTCTTTGCTTTTTGACAATAAAAACTGTGATGAGTTTAACTTCCTTCTAATAAAATAAATAACCTTCATCAAAATTATTAACTGGTCAGTTAATAATTTTGGTGAAAAGGATTATGTAATAAAGTAGTTCAGAAAAGGATTTTGCTTATTTTAGGAATTGCAAAGTGTTAACATTAAAGTCTGTCATTGAAAGTCAAGCAACAAAAAAATTTGTTCAACTTTTAATATTGGTACACAAATAAAATTTACATTAATTGTATTAATAAACTTACCATGTTTTATTTTTATTTTTTAGTGACTCTTGAATTAAAATTTGATTTAATGGTGACATTATTTTAAGAATAGAACTGCGCTCCCCACCTGACCACCACCTTACGGTTATTAATAACTTTATAATCTCTTTGAGAAATTTGAGAAAATAAGACTATATATATATATATATATATATATATATATATATATATATATATATATATATATATATATATATATACACTATTGCATGGTCATTTTTAAGGCTTTACCATAAAATGTGAGTTTGAGGTTTTTTTCAAAAAAATCATTTTAAAGACCAGAAAGAATTGAAAAACTTTTTTTATAATTTTTTGATAGACTACCCGCCCTAACCAATCCCTCAGTTAATGTAGCAGCACTCTGTTGCAGGTCAGGCTATAAAATAGTCGATGTAGCAGCACTTCCTTGTAGCAGCAGGCTATAAGATGATCAATGTAGCAACACTCTGCACATGTTTTACTGTAAAAATAAAATTAAAAAAAAAACATTCAGAATGTTTTTAAAACATTGAGAATGTTTTTAAAACATTGAGAATGTTTTTAAAACATTGAGAATGTTTTTAAAACATTGAGAATGTTTTTAAAACGTTCAGAATGTTTTTAAAACGTTCAGAATGTTTTTAAAACATTCAGAGTGTTTTTGAAACGTTCAGAATGTTTTTAAAATGTTCAGAATGTTTTTAAAACATTCAGAATGTTTTTAAAACGTTCAGAATGTTTTTAAAACGTTCAGAATGTTTTTAAAACGTTTAGAATGTTTTTAAAACGTTCAGAATGTTTTTAAAACGTTCAGAATGTTTTTAAAACATTATCCTTGGAAAAGGTAATAAGATCAGTCCCATGACTTAGATAAAGAATGTTATGACATACCTTAGATATAGAATGTTATGACATACCTATAGAAAGGTATGACATACCTTTGTTAATGACGTTGTTAATGATTTTTCAAAAGTCTTTAAAACTTCTAAAATAAGAAACAAGAGTTTGTAAACTAGAAATAATAGAGCTCAGTTTCAGACAGCCCCCTTTTCATTGATTTCTTGCAATAATAAAAAAGTGTTTGTTCTATAAATTGGTAACTTTTTCAAAAGAGATGAAAAAAATGATTAAGATAAGATACAGCAGCTGCACAAGAAGGTCAAAACCATGGAGGAAAATAAGGCTTGACTTGGAACCAATAATAAGAATTAAAAGCTTCCATTTCTGTCTAAGTTAAAGATGTTTTGTAGGAAACACATTTGTCAGCGGAGAGAAAAAAAAGAATTGCCAAAGTACGGTCACCAAGAAAATCTTGAAAAGAATCTCAGTCAGCTTTAGGGTAATAGCTAGTTGAGACTCACTAATAATAAGGTGAGTCTAAGTAGTAGTACAAAATAAAATATATATGAGATCATTGCATGGTCAGAACCACCTGAAGATCAATTTAATCAAAAGTTACATCAAAAAAGTGTTATTTTGAAAAGAATAAGAACGAAACACATAAAAGAATGGCCAAAAGATTCAAACTTGTAAGTTTACCCTCAAACCAAGCAAGTGACTATTGCAGTCTTAGCAAATTAAAGGATACTACCAATCCATACTGAGATCTGATGAAGGAACAGCTGAATTTAAATTAATCTCGCAAAGAGTATACAAGTCTTGTGAATCTTGCAAGGTGTAAGATTCAGCTGAAGGAAAATTACATCAAAGACCACAAATCTTTGTGAAAGATATATTAAATTAGTTAGACAGTGAGATGGTTTTATGCTTAACATTTTGGTTACTTTATGCATGATTTAAGTTAAAAAAGAACTTTACTCATTCATAAATTAAGCCTGGCATCACAAGGAAAGAGTTATGCAATTGTCTCAGTCCTGCTAATTAACAATAAATCATAAATTAGGGCAGAACCATTAAACTGAGTTTTAGAGCTGTACCATTATTAAAAGATAACAGGAAGAGTTGCATTGCCACTATTATGGAGGGACAACTAAAACTCTGAGTAGAGTCAAGAGGATCCAGTATTCAGGGTAGGAAGCTACCCTGAATACTGGATCCTCTTGACTCTACTCATAGAGTTTTAGTTGTGCCTCCAAAAAAAACTAGATGGATGCAATTACCATTTGCCAGATAGGGGAAAAGCTAAAGATGTTTTTTTTCTATTAAAAAACTATCTTTAGCTCATATTAAACCAAGAAAGAAGGAGTGTTAAGACACAGTTGGTTTTTCCTAGTCTTTGCCTAAAAACATCAAACCCTTAAAGGCAGTATACATAGGGCAGGTAGTACTGGGTTACATGATACCAGTAGCAGGATGACCCTGAACCTGACCAGGAGTAGTTAAAAAAAGTTACTTCCTGTAAGCTTGTACTTTAAAACATGTTGTGTTTTTCATTATTATTATCATTACTATTAGTATTATCGTTATCCTTATTATTATTAATATTACTACTGTTAATATTATTATTTTATTTAACTAAGCATAACTAATAATTTTATTTCTGAACCTACCATTTATTGATTATCATATTAATCAATGATAGTATTTATAAATAATCTAAAAATTATTTATTTATTATAAAATAGTATTTATAAATAATCTAAAAAGTATTTATAAATAATCTAAAAATGCTCTTCCTACCTTTTTTCCTATAACATGTATTATGTAATGTAGTTGTTATTGTAAACTAAAATGCTTATGTTCTCCATTTAATAAGATTTATACTCATTAATATGTGGACACACTCTCCAGCAGCAAACATTGTTAAATTTTCTAACATTGCTTCAACACAAATAAAAATATATGTTTTAGCAATACAAAAATAAATACAAAATTTTGAATGCATTCCAGTAAATGTGTTTAAAATTATGTTACATTTTGAATGCATTTACAGAATAATATTATATGTGGGTTATTCCATATTAAATCACTTAGTTTTTAGAAAGACCCCAGAGTACCACCTCAAATTTGCTTCAAATTTTGATCACCCACAGATTTTATGAAAAAAATACAATTCTGAAAATTTCAGCTTGTTCTTGAAACCGATTCGGTTGCCGAAGTTATAGTTTGTGTAAAACTAGCCTTGTACTTTGATTTCTACTATAAAGGTGAGTTTCCACTCACCCGTTTTTTCACGGGAACGGGAAGGGGAAGGAAAAAATGATCACGTGGGCATGCGTATTATAAGTTTTAATTTGTCCGAAGTAAAACTGCGCATGCTCAAGTGATTATTTTTCCCGTTCCCGTGGAAAAACGGATGAGTTTCACCTTTCGGGTGAGACTCACCTTAAGGTTTATACGGGACTGTCTAAAAAGCCGAATTCTAAAACGCCGAAAAGCCTAAATTTTTTTTTTTTTTTTTTTAATTTGCATTCACTCCCAACAAGGCTGCAAGCAACCACTATTAAGTTGGGAGTTACTAGGAAAAAAAAAGAACAGAGTTATAGAGCAAGGAAACGGTTGACAGAAAACTTGAAAAGTTGAAGGTTGTATGATTCAGGAAAACATGAAGATGGGAGAGAGTTCCAAAGGATTGAAGTGCGGGGAAAAAAACTAGATGAATAAAAGTTTTTAGAGCATGCAGGGACAGATACAGTAAACGAATGAGACTTAGCTGAATGACGAGTAAAACGAGAATGAATTTTAGTTGATGAAACTAGAGATGATAACTCCTTTGAGCAATGACCATGATAGTATCTGTAGAAAAGAGAAAGAGATGCAACTTTACGACGATGGGAAAGAGGTTCAAGCTTAGCAGATAGTCCAGGTCCAACAACATTTACAATGCGTTTTTAGAACTTGTCAAGAAGAGAAAGTGAATCGTTAGAAGAACCAGCCCAAATATGACAACAGTATTCCATACAGGGACGAATAATAGATTTGTAGAGGTAGAGAATGGAATCAGAAATAAGGAAATGGCGAGCACGATAAAGAGAAGCAACCTTAGCAGAAGCTAATTTAGCAATTGATTGTATATATGGTTTCCATGAAAGGTCAGTAGTAAACGATAATCCAAGAAGACGTAAAGAGGACGACTCAGTAAGAGGATTGCCATTCATTAATATAGGAATGTTGACCATATTACGGTAGTTGTTTGCAGTAAGCAATTGGGTTTTTTTAGAGTTGAAATTCACAAGCCACTGTGAACCCCAATCTATTACTGAAGTGAGATCAGATTCAAGATCAGCTGCTTGTTCTAGGCGATCGAAAAGAGAAGACTTTTTGTCAAGACAGGAGTATAGAGTTGAGTCATCAGCAAAAAGAGCTACTTTAGATGAAAAGTTGTCAGGAAGATCGTTTATGTAGATAAGAAACAAAACAGGGCCCAAGATGGAACCTTGGGGAACCCCAGAAGTTACTGGAAATAAAGAAGAGTGTTGGCCTTCAAGGATGACTTTAATAAACCGGTTAGAAAGAAATGATTTGATAATCTCAAAAACTTTCCTAGAAACACCATATGAAGCAAGCTTATGGAGAAGACCAGCATGCCAAACTTTGTCGAAAGCTTTAGATATGTCGAGAGCAATAGCCCTAGCCTCACCACCTCCCAACAAGGCTGCAAGCAACCACTATTAAGTTGGGAGTTACTAGGAAAAAAAAAGAACAGAGTTATAGAGCAAGGAAACGGTTGACAGAAAACTTGAAAAGTTGAAGGTTGTATGATTCAGGAAAACATGAAGATGGGAGAGAGTTCCAAAGGATTGAAGTGCGGGGAAAAAAACTAGATGAATAAAAGTTTTTAGAGCATGCAGGGACAGATACAGTAAACGAATGAGACTTAGCTGAATGACGAGTAAAACGAGAATGAATTTTAGTTGATGAAACTAGAGATGATAACTCCTTTGAGCAATGACCATGATAGTATCTGTAGAAAAGAGAAAGAGATGCAACTTTACGACGATGGGAAAGAGGTTCAAGCTTAGCAGATAGTCCAGGTCCAACAACATTTACAATGCGTTTTTAGAACTTGTCAAGAAGAGAAAGTGAATCGTTAGAAGAACCAGCCCAAATATGACAACAGTATTCCATACAGGGACGAATAATAGATTTGTAGAGGTAGAGAATGGAATCAGAAATAAGGAAATGGCGAGCACGATAAAGAGAAGCAACCTTAGCAGAAGCTAATTTAGCAATTGATTGTATATATGGTTTCCATGAAAGGTCAGTAGTAAACGATAATCCAAGAAGACGTAAAGAGGACGACTCAGTAAGAGGATTGCCATTCATTAATATAGGAATGTTGACCATATTACGGTAGTTGTTTGCAGTAAGCAATTGGGTTTTTTTAGAGTTGAAATTCACAAGCCACTGTGAACCCCAATCTATTACTGAAGTGAGATCAGATTCAAGATCAGCTGCTTGTTCTAGGCGATCGAAAAGAGAAGACTTTTTGTCAAGACAGGAGTATAGAGTTGAGTCATCAGCAAAAAGAGCTACTTTAGATGAAAAGTTGTCAGGAAGATCGTTTATGTAGATAAGAAACAAAACAGGGCCCAAGATGGAACCTTGGGGAACCCCAGAAGTTACTGGAAATAAAGAAGAGTGTTGGCCTTCAAGGATGACTTTAATAAACCGGTTAGAAAGAAATGATTTGATAATCTCAAAAACTTTCCTAGAAACACCATATGAAGCAAGCTTATGGAGAAGACCAGCATGCCAAACTTTGTCGAAAGCTTTAGATATGTCGAGAGCAATAGCCCTAGCCTCACCACCTCCCAACAAGGCTGCAAGCAACCACTATTAAGTTGGGAGTTACTAGGAAAAAAAAAGAACAGAGTTATAGAGCAAGGAAACGGTTGACAGAAAACTTGAAAAGTTGAAGGTTGTATGATTCAGGAAAACATGAAGATGGGAGAGAGTTCCAAAGGATTGAAGTGCGGGGAAAAAAACTAGATGAATAAAAGTTTTTAGAGCATGCAGGGACAGATACAGTAAACGAATGAGACTTAGCTGAATGACGAGTAAAACGAGAATGAATTTTAGTTGATGAAACTAGAGATGATAACTCCTTTGAGCAATGACCATGATAGTATCTGTAGAAAAGAGAAAGAGATGCAACTTTACGACGATGGGAAAGAGGTTCAAGCTTAGCAGATAGTCCAGGTCCAACAACATTTACAATGCGTTTTTAGAACTTGTCAAGAAGAGAAAGTGAATCGTTAGAAGAACCAGCCCAAATATGACAACAGTATTCCATACAGGGACGAATAATAGATTTGTAGAGGTAGAGAATGGAATCAGAAATAAGGAAATGGCGAGCACGATAAAGAGAAGCAACCTTAGCAGAAGCTAATTTAGCAATTGATTGTATATATGGTTTCCATGAAAGGTCAGTAGTAAGCGATAATCCAAGAAGACGTAAAGAGGACGACTCAGTAAGAGGATTGCCATTCATTAATATAGGAATGTTGACCATATTACGGTAGTTGTTTGCAGTAAGCAATTGGGTTTTTTTAGAGTTGAAATTCACAAGCCACTGTGAACCCCAATCTATTACTGAAGTGAGATCAGATTCAAGATCAGCTGCTTGTTCTAGGCGATCGAAAAGAGAAGACTTTTTGTCAAGACAGGAGTATAGAGTTGAGTCATCAGCAAAAAGAGCTACTTTAGATGAAAAGTTGTCAGGAAGATCGTTTATGTAGATAAGAAACAAAACAGGGCCCAAGATGGAACCTTGGGGAACCCCAGAAGTTACTGGAAATAAAGAAGAGTGTTGGCCTTCAAGGATGACTTTAATAAACCGGTTAGAAAGAAATGATTTGATAATCTCAAAAACTTTCCTAGAAACACCATATGAAGCAAGCTTATGGAGAAGACCAGCATGCCAAACTTTGTCGAAAGCTTTAGATATGTCGAGAGCAATAGCCCTAGCCTCACCACCTCCATCTAATGCACGATAAAATCTTTCAGTTACAGCAGTTAGCAAATCGGCCGTAGAGCGAGAGGATCGAAAACCGTATTGATTGTCTGACAGCAGTTTATTTGACTCAAGATGAGATGTGAGGAATTTGTTGATCAAAGACTCAAAGACCTTGCTAATAACAGAAAGAAGACTGATCGGACGATAATTGGAGGGGTCAGAATTTTCTCCAGAGTTTTTGAATATTGGAACCACAGATGCCCTTTTCCAACAAGCAGGAAAACAAGACTCAGTCAAACACTTGTTAAATAGTTTAGAGAGAATTGAAGAAAGTTCTGGAGAACAATTCTGCAAGACTGTGACAGGAATGTTGTCTGGACCACAAGCTGTAGACGAGTTTAATTGAGATATGACTTTAGCAATAGAAGCTGGAGTGATTTGAATGTCTAACAATGGGTCAACCTGTTTGACTGGAATGGAAGGAAGAAAATGTCCATAAGATTCAAGAGTGGAATTAGAAGAAAAGTTCTTTGCAAATAGTTATGCCTTATTTTTGGGAGAGGTAATAAGATCAGTCCCATGAATGAGAGATGGAATGTTAGATCTACCCTTGTTAATAATGCTGTTGAAGATTTTCCAAAAGTCTTTAGAGCCTAACTTCTGCGATAAGATGCGAGATTTAGTGAACTGAGAATAATGGAGTTTAGCATCAGAAAGCACCTTTTTACATCGATTTCTTGCAATAATAAATAGCCGTTTGTTCTCAAGAGAGTTGTTCTTTTGAAAAAGATGAAAAAAATGATTACGATTGGATATAGCAGCCGCACAAGAAGGAGAAAACCATTGAGTAGAATGAGGCTTGACTTGAAACCGACGAGAAGGAATAAAAGCTTCCATTCCAGCCTGAATCCAGGAGGTTACGTAGGAGACGCATTTGTCAGCTGAGAGAGAAAAAACATCAGCCCAAAGACCATCACGAAGAATATCACGAAAGGAATCCCAGTCAGCTTTAGGGTAGTAGTAGGTGGTGCGATGATAAGGTGAGCCCAAAAAAGAAGTACGAGAAGAAAGATTTATAGAGATCATTGCATGGTCAGAACCACCTAAGGGAGAAAAGGGAGAAACTGAACATAAGCTAGGGTCAGAGACAAGACATAAGTCAAGGAGTGAAGGTAAATGATTAGGGTTGTCAGGAAAACGAGTCACAAAGTTAACTATCTGAGTAAGAGATTGAGAAATGCAGAAGTTAAAGGCTTTAGTGCCAGCAGGATCAGTGGTGTTAGAGCCAAGCCATTCAGTGTGATGGGCATTAAAATCACCAACAATAACAATATTGGCAGAGGGGTAAAGAGAGAGGGCATGGTCAATTTGATCAGAGATAACATCTAAAAGAGTGCAATCATGGTAAGAAGGAGAACGATAAAGAACAAAGAGAAAGGTGATAGAGTGAAGAGGTGCTAGGCGAAAGCACATAAAAGAATGGTCAAAGGATTCGAACCTGATTTCACGACAAATAGGGGAATTAATGCGTATGTATACCCCTAAACCTAGCATGTGACTATTGGAGTCTTTACGAATGCCAAAAAAAATGACGTTTTAGTAGACCAACGGTAACCAAAAAAAGACAACGAAAAGTTAAGTATCCCCCGGATTTTTTTTTTGCGCATTTGCGAATGCGAAAGTTTAAAGGGACAGAAGAAAAAGCCAAACTTGGCTTTTGCCTTTGGCCTTTTAAACTTTTGCGAATAATAACGGAAAAAGAGACGAAATAAAAATTAATGTTTATAAATTATTTTTAAATTTGTTTCCTAATTTTATATTTAATCGTAGTATAGAGAGGATTTGCGTAAAAATTGTTAACTAATTAAATTTAGAAAATATTAATTGGAATTATTGGTAACAACCTCGGTGAACCATCAAGCAAGCGAATTTTCAGATAAGTTAGTTAGTTAGTTAGTAGTTAAACTGTAACTGGACGAATTCAGCGAGTGTGGTTTATCTCACTTTGACAGCATTAATCCAAATATATATTAAAAATGTTTAGTTAAAACTTCTTTGATTTGGCGTCATACACATCTAATCTATTCTTAAATTGATTGACAGTTTTTGAAGTAACAACAGTTTCCGATAAACCGTTCCATAAATTGGCCGTACGATTTAATAAAAAATGATGCCGAGGTAATTAGTTCACAATTTCTCTTACATATTTAAGATTGTGACCTCGAGTAGTTGAATCAATTTTAAGCTTCGGTTCATTAATTAAATCATTTTCCTCAAATCTGTTAAGTAATTTAAACACTTGTATTAAATCCCCACGTTCCCTCCTTGTTTTTAATCTAGATATATCTAATATTTCCAATCTCTTTTCATAATTAATTTTCCTTAATGATGGAACTAATCTAGTCATCCTGTGTTTAACTTTTTCCAAAAGTGATATGTCTCCTTTAAAATAAGATGACCAAACAGGTACTGCAAACTCAATAAGAGGTCTAATAAATACCTTATACAATGTTTTAAACAATTTTGCATCAATTCGTGAAAATGTCATCTTTAACATACCCATCATTGAATTTGCTTTAGAAGTACTTGATATTATTTGTTTTTTCCATTTCAAGTTTGTTGAAAAATGTACACCTAAATCTCTCTCGCATTCAGAATCTTTCAGTTCAACACCATTTAAAGTATATTTCAATCGCGGATTATTTGTACCATAATGCATTATAACACATTTACTAGAATTAAAACCCAAGAGCCACTTTTTAGGCCATTCCTCTGCACTATCCAGATCTTTATGCAAGCTATTTTCCACATTTATTTCATTCACTTTTGAAAGAATTTTTGTATCATTTGCATACAATACTGACTTATTTTTAAATATATTTGATATATCATTAATAAAAATAACAAATAATAAGGGCCCTATTACGGATCCTTGCGGAACACCACTGAAGACTTTGCGGAACACCACTGAAGACTTCACGTGTTCCCGTTGAAAAACGGATGAGTAGAAACTCGCTTTTACATGATAATACTCAATGTGGGCCTCAAACTCATGTGAAAATGAATCCTTGCACACTGAGCAACATTGAAGCTAGATATCTTTTAAGGTGCTAGTTAATCACCAATAACTAGCATCTTTTACAAATATTTTTAAAGCTATTGTGGACGATGTTAAACAGACCAAAACATTTTGAAACATTGTAAATGACAGAATAAAATGTAACTTTTAGCTTTTTTGGTCTCAGTTCAAGACTTTTGAAAGAGTTTTTATATATCCTTGTTTTGAATCAAATCAAACTGAACAAAAAAAATAACATTTAAGTTACAAAGTACACGCGGATCAATTAATAAATCATCTCTGCAGTAATTACTCAAAAATATTTAATCAAAGGATTGAGTACGGTCAAAGACTTTAGAACTGTAAATTTGACAGCAAACATTTGTAGAAAATTAAGGTGGCTTTTTGTTAGAATTCATTTATGTGTTAGAATCTAATGAAAAAAATGTTTTCCTATTGGTAAGGTATCAAAGAAAAAATTTTGAGTGCTGTAAAAAAGAATGTATGTGAAATGCTGTTTTTTTTTTCTAATACGAGCAGTGGCGGTTAAAGTCAACAGAGAGACCTAAACAGTAAAAGGAACTGCGCTACTTCAAAATTTTTGCAGGGTGATCCTTCTTTCTAAGTTGCCAGTGACTTAAAAGTTTCCTTTAGTAGTTAAGTTTCTCCAAAAAGCCGTAAAGTTCTTATCATAGAACACAGCGGAGGAGCATTTATCTAGAAAATTTTCTTCCCTTCCAATGACGGTTATTGGGTTAGAGCCGGCATTATACCTCCTCGTTTTGAATTATAACTATTATCACTGCGCCACGGTTGCTGTTTATAAAAATTTATTTTCATTTTATCTAAAAACGATAACAAATGTTATCATTTTTAGATAATATACTAACAAATATTTGATTTCCTAATATATCAAGCATTATTTTGTATCTATAAAACATGCATTTTCTCCATGCTTAGGTAATTTTCTAGAGAAAATTCCTTGCTCAATTAACCTAAAACAAGTAAGAGTTATACTGCCACATCAGGAATTACAAAAACCATACATTTATTTTTATGTAGTCACTTATTTTATGTAGTGGCGAGGACAGGACCGATGGAAAAAAAAGTAAAACAATTAAGTTATTAAACAATAATATAATAATCCATAAATATATTTAAGCTCTATTATTTATAAAAAATAAAAAATTCGAACTAAAAAATATTGGCTGCACATTCATATTATATTAGAGAGACAATAAATTTTACAAAACAATATTTAACAAAAACGAAGGAAATGCAAAAGAGTAAGAAAACCCAATTTACTATGCGAAACATAAATTTTAATTTTGAAACAAAGAGACTGATATTGTTACATTAACTATTCACAAAATATAATACACAACCAGCCATATAATAAAGGCCAGCATTCATCTGATCATCTTTTATTAATTATCACATATATAAATTTTTTTTTCATCAGGTCGATCTCAATACCATCTTTCATAAGGTCGATCTCAATTTATGCTAGAGCAATTTCAGTTTCTTCAACGAAGTTTAAAAAATAATTTCAACCGTTGAAGACTAAAACTGTTTTTTACTTTTTAATAAATTGAATTGAATCAAAAGTGATCGAGTTTAAAAAAATTGTAAAAACAGCAATTGTCAAACAAAAATTACTGCCAATTTTATGCCTTATAAAGTAACACTTTCTAAATGTAGTAAAAATTCTTCTTAAACAACGTTTTTATTTCACTCGTCCAAAGTAAATTAATTTTTCAAACACTTTCAAGATGGCAGGAAGAAAGTATTGGTAATCTTCTGAAAGTTATTTTTACTGTTAGTTCTTGTAATATATTGAGATTAGTTTGTGTGTAAGTACTTTAACGTCTAAATTCCTTGCCCCCTTGCACAACTTCAAAATTACATCAGCATAGGCTAAAATACATTTAAAAATAGTCAATTTTTTTAAATCTATCAATAAAAAATAACCTAATAGGATGATTACCTGAAACTTTGGTTAATGAGACTTTTATATTTTGCCATACACGCAGATTGCCAGTGTTTTCACAAACACTCGTACTTAAAGGCAATTTTTTAAAACATTTGGAATAGATGACAACATATGTCACAATTTTTGGGTGTCTATGTTATATAAATCTATTTATGTTAAAGAAGTTTTAGATAACATGAAACATATAACAATATATAAAACTATCTACAACAAAAATGACATTGATTTCCTAAAATTGATTTTTTACAACCCAATGCCCTTTAAGATATAAACCAGTTTTGCAGATTAGGAATTTGTAACATAGGACATTCTATCAAGAAATAAAAAAAAAAAGTTAAAAAGAAGATTTAATCAAATACTCCATTTTTTAGAGGATAATAGGGGATTTTAGAGGAGATTTTTAAAAAAAGAGGACTTTAGAGGATCTTAGACCAGCTGTGACCACTCTGATATATATGTATATATATATATATATGTATATATATATATATATATATATATATATATATATATATATATATATATATATTTATATATATATATATATATATATATATATATATATATATATATATATATTTTGTGTTGATTAAGGTGCCCCAAGAAGTCCTTACGGTCTTATCACAGAGCACCGCGGAAGAGCATTTAATGGGAAGTTCACGCCTCCTTCCCAACTGATGTCGCAAAACTTGCCCAGAGGTGGGGTTTGAATGGGTCTTACGTTTCTGAGGCAAGTGCGCTACCACTGCGCCACGGCTGCATAAATATATATATATATATATATATATATATATATATATATATATATATATATATATATATATATATATATATATATATATATATATATATAATTAATTTTAAATGTATTCTACAAATATTTTTAATTCTGATTCACTCCCAACAATGCAAGCAACAACTATTAGGTTGGGAGTTACTGGAAAAAAAAACAGAGTTTTTTTCTCAAAACTGTTTACATTTGTTGGCTTGACAACTTCCAATGCATTCCATAGTTTTGCAGTGTTCCCAATGTGTTCCATTAATTTGCTGCTCTGTTTATAATGAATTCATATCTAAATATGAACTTACTGCATTCTTTTTTGTATTTCTTATCAGGACCTCTGCATTATTTGAGAATATTGTTTTTTTTAAAAATTCTAATTTTTCAATCGAATTAAAATCTTGACTATATAACAATTTTTTTTTGTTTATAGTGTGTAATGTATTATTTTTTGTCTTATAATGGGGAATTAAACACTTCCTTTTAATGCTCAAAGAGTCTCAAAGATCTCTCAAAGATTCCTGATGTGTATAAAAGTTTTCTTTCCAGTTTTAACAAAATATTTAACTTTATATACAAAGTCCATTTTGTTTCTAAACAGTAACGAATTATCCTCTTACTAGACAGTTTTAATATAATAATTTGATTAGGACATACCTTTTTTCATAAACAGCATTTTCCAAAACTCAAAGTTTCTCCTAATTCTTGCATTTGTTGTCAATTTTCTAAATATAAATAAACTAGTATACTTATAAATAAATTAGTATACATATAAAGGCTTCAAAGAATAATAACAACAAAATTTATTTAACAAACTTTTTTTAAACAAATTTAAGTTTGCTGCTAAACTAACTACTCTAAATTTAATGTCATTAAAATAAATATGTTTAGCAATCGTTTAAAATTTTAAAACTATTAATAACTTTTTTAATAGTTTTAAAATTTTGCAAATGAAAAACCGGGGTTGACTAGGTTAGCAGATAAATGTATCACTCAAAAAGCGATCAAAGTCCAACTGCTAATTTAATATAATTTAAGCGTAAATTAATTTTTGAGAAAAAAACAAAATGGAGCGCAATAAGAAAGTTGCGTGAATTTTTAAGTCAATTTATTCTAGCACTATATAAGAAAAATAAACTTTGTTTACAAGGAATATTATAAAATAATAAACTGTTTCTTTTATTTACAACATAATTTTTTTAGAACTTTTGAACATTAATAAAATGCAAAAGAAAAAATGATTTTAATTTTTTTTTATATGAATTTTTTACATCTTATATAATTATCTATATTGAAGTTATATAAATACTATATAATGCTACTAGTTACATAAATAGTTATTAAATAATCTCTTTTCATAAACACTACTTATATAAATAGTTACTAAATAATCTATTTTTATAAATACTACTAGTTACATAAATATTTTTTAAATAATATCTTTGAGGTATGAAGTAATAAGTACAACCTTTTTCACATTATTTTATATTTCTGAAAAGCAAAGGTCTAAGTGTTATGCATTCGGTTATATTTTAACAAAGCTTATTTAAGCTTTCTACTCGAATAAAAAATTAATAAAGTGTTAAACTGTTGTTGTTGAATTATATTCAACTTTCGTTTCAACGCGAACAAAGAAAAAGGATAAATAAAATACATCTACAAATATGGAGTCAGTATAATAATTTGTTTGTATTATTAACAAACCATTTTTTAAATTAGGATATTTACGAAACTAAATAATAAAAACATTTTATAACATAGAGCTGCATTTTGAACATGACCAATCTGCACATTTGTCTTCCAAAACATAATCAGGGATACGTTCACAAGCGCGATGATACCAATTTTCGCATATTCCGCATTGCACCATATGTCTAAATATAATCCCCAGTTAGACAAAAAGAAATTACGTAAACAGAATACAATGCATTGAGTTATATTTACCTATCTTTAATATAACTATCCGAAGCTAACCAGACTTGTCTACAAATGCAGTACAAGGAAAAATTCAATTCTTTTTCTTTGCAGAATCGCATAGCTGTTTCGGACTTTGGAAACTCAGTAAACTGATTGCCTTTCACACATTTTAGCAAATGATTTCTCATTTGAAAAGCGTCAAAAGCAACATAACTTGGATTTGATCTAGTATCGGTAATATGTTTTATAAAGGCTAATGCGTACAAACCACAATCAACATAATTTGTTTGTTGTTGCACCGGTACAACGCGGACAGTTAATTTATCTTCATTGCAATGCATAATAGCACAAATTTGCCTAACCACATGGTTTTTTACTTTTCCACGAAAAAAACTGTCTAAAAGAAAAACCTCACCAACAGAACATCCAAAATTACTTATAGCCAACCAGTGGGCATCGCCATCATGCAACACCTGGACAAAAGATGCTTTTTGTACACGGAACGATAGATTTTGTCCAAGAACTGGGTCTTGGAGACCGCCTACACCTGTGATCATCTTTTGCATGGTGTGGATTACAATGTCAGATAACATTTGGTTTGTTAAAATATCGTTCAAATCATTGGAAGAGAGATTACAGTTAGGTGATAAATGGTTTAGTCTTTTCATCTCGAATCCATCATTTTCATTAATAGTAACTGACTCATCATCAATAATTATACTATTTCCATCGATATGTTCAATAATGTCAACCTCAATCGGCTCGGTTTTGTGTTTTTTTTCCTCTAGAAATATTTTAGAAGATGCAATAACCATATCTTTGTGATTACCTACGCGATCAGTAGGAAGCTTCATTGGTTTACGAACAGGAATTGGAATGTTCCTTTTTAAATGACAAGGCAACTTGATATCCAATGGAGAAAGCGGAATTCCTGATTCTTTAGTTCTATTTTTTTCAAGTTTTTTAATGAGAGAAGCAAGAGTGCTATAAACAAGAACAATTTCTTCTGAATTTTCCTCAAATTCATATGTTAGGTTTTGAATTGTTGTAAGCATTTCCCTAACATTTACTCCAGAGCAAACACTTGTAATTTTTTTAGATTTTTCATTCAAATCATTAATGACATCTAATTCTTTTTTAGGTAGAATTGAACTTTCCGGCCTACTAAATGGTGGTTTTTCGTGTGATGCTTCGTAATCATCAGCATCTAAGTTTAAGAATGGTGAACTTAGATATAATGATGACAAAGCACTCCATGACCAAGCAGGGTACTTTCTAAATACTAAAAAAAAATGTTTGCATGGATATGCAGTTGATATCCAATTTAAACAAGTACATTTTGGCATTGTAATCTCATCACCAAATGATACAAAATATTTAGTAGCTGGCTTGGTAGAACTTAATACAGCAAAAACTCCATGTTTAATCATGATTACTCCGGACAAATCAAGATTCTCAACGTTACTTTATTTTATTAGGCAATGTTTAACAAAGCTATGAGGACGGTTGTAAAGATAACTTGGCACCCAACGTGCATACCTTCTGTAACGTGCATCCATTTTAAAGTTGGAATCAGTATAGCTAAATGAAATAATATTCATAGTAACAAAGTTTCTTTAACAAAGTATTAGGAAAAACCCAATATTGTGTAAATGAATGTAAATGATTTGGTATGTAGTACCATAGACACGATATCTTTAAAATGCAAAATGTAATGATAAGTAAAAAAATTTTTATATTAGTTACGTGAACAATCTATACAATGAATTATTATTAAATATATAGGGTAAAAACCTGCTGTTAACATACTTATACCTAAGTTTTCTGAACTTGTTTTTTTTTAACCAGAGAAAGTGTTTGTTGTTTTTATTTAGGTGTTTATTACTTTTTAAAATTGGTACAAACGTAACGAAACTTTAAAAAAATGATACCTGTCAAGTTTATTAATGAAGAAGTCATCAATAAGCAAAGTTAACATTCCAGTCAATGATGAGTTTTTATGTCGCTGTAAATAAGTATATTTAAAAGACTCATTCTGCCTTTCCACACCATTGTTTGTATTGCAATTGATAAGAAGACGATCCTGCCTGTACCACCAAACCCACCTCTAATTTAAAAAAATCTTTTTTTTTTTTATTTTGTTTTGTTCAGTTAAATATAAAAAAATTAAATAACTTTTTATTGAATCTTCCTGTATTTCAAAAATTTTATATTTTACATACTTTTTTAATTGGGAGCCAATACTTTTCTATATATTGTTTAAACTTAGTAAAGCTTTCTTGACTCCAGAATTCAGACTGTTCCAATATTCTTTGAGCATTTTCTTCCTCGTCAATTGACTTTGACCAAGCGAGTCGTCTTAAAATACATAAAATATCATCTTTTCTGTTAGAGCAACCACTTGATAGCTTTTTTAGCCAACGGTCCCAAGACTGTTCTCTGTGAAAGTCACATATAAATACCTTACACCCTAAAAAATATATTAAAAATCAGTTGATTCATTGGATGTTTGTATAGTTAAATTAACTTCATGTAAAATAAATAAATACGCACCAATAAAAATAGTTTCGAGAGCACGTATCTCAGCATTACAATAATCAGTCATGCAATAAAGAGGTTGCAAATTTTCATTCCAAGACTTTAGGATAACAAGTGCTTCAGATATCGATTCAAAAGTTTCACTTTCGCTTACAAAGGTTGCTACAATTTGATAATCCACATTTGTTTTGACAACCAAAAAAAAAAAAGGTAAAGAATATCGTGTCGTTTTGTACGTTGCATCCAAAAACAACATCTCATTCCCATATTTTTTTTAGCAGTTTTTTTTGCCAAAATGCTTGGTATACAAACAAGAGCTCAGCACTGTTACCCCGTTCTTTAGGTCGAAAATAGATATTGGCAGATGAGTCAGCTTCTTTCCATTCTTTTATTTTGATTTCTAAGCAGTCTTGGTCGATGTTCGAGTATCTAAAACGTTAAATTTTATTGTCTGCTTTATAAAATGAAATATTAAATTATAAAAATTAGTAACATAGCCTTGTTGTTGTTTTTAATTATATGATTGAGTGATTAATTGATTGAATTGGTTGATTAAAAAGATTGATTAAATTAATGAATGACTGAAGTTATCTTTAATATTTAATAAACACCTAAAACCTCTCTTAAATAGTCCTACATATTATAATATTTGCAACATCAAAATTTATTTATTTTGCATTTTTTAAACTCTATTACCTTTGCTTTAGACGCTCTTTGACCATGTGCGAACGAATTATGTCAGTTCTTGGATAAAATCTTCTGTTGGTTCTAGAAGGAAGATTTTTCTTTCCAAACATTTCATTGACAGTAATATTTAAAAGTCTTCTCATCTCACGCACATTAGAAACACCATCTTTAATGTATTCAGAAATTTTAACTGATAAGCGTGGATCAATTTTTTGTGAGAGTAGCTCAATCTAAGAAACGTTAAAATGATTTACTGTTATAAAAGCTAATTAAAACAAATATCAGAGTTTTATATTAGAGCTTCTTTTTTCATAGATGAGTGGCCTTCACAACGATTAAAAAGTCCACATGCCCCAATTTAGGATTTAATGTCGTCACCGTTGTGTGTAGGTACTTTATGAATATACAAAAACTATTGGTTATAGTTAAAATAAGACTATTTAAACACAGTTAAGAAAACTCATTAATACCTTGCCAAGAGGGTGATTTTTGTGATCATTGAAGCAGCCTATCTCAACAATAATTTTTCGACTAATTACCACATCCTTTTTTTGTAGCAACGAATATTTTATTTCTTTTGACTGTTGCTTCTTACGATAATTACTGGAATTAATAAGCTGAAAAAAATATTTAAATAAGAAAACTAAACAAAGATTATTTCAAAAGTAATAGATCGACAGTAAACAGTTAAGAACTTAATAAAATATTGTGAGTGCGTAATAATTTATAAAATGATTTCCTATTTAATAGAACATTGTAATGTCAGTAGATTTGTTACCTTGAAGTCAGTGAAATATACCACTTCTTTCATAATGGCTTTTGCAGGACAATTAAACTTTTTAGTATCTTGTATGATAACATAATCAGTTATGTATAAATGATCCACTTTCTTTAAAAAAAAATAGCCAAAGTGAACATAAATTTATTTGACAACGATGCGAATTGTAAAAATAGGAGAATCTTTACCTGATTTTCTTTTGCTTCATTATGCTTCCTTTTTGCAGCAGCGTTCCGATCGAAACCATGGTGACAATTGTATCTTTTTGTAGATAATATAATATAAGGAGTAGCATAGTCTTCAGATGTTTCCCATAATACTTTATGTTGGGTTCCATGTATAACTAAGCAAGGAAATTAGGATATTATGTTTTGTGTATGATTTCAAATCATGTGATTGTGCAGAATTATTATGCACACACATTAGAACAACGATGTAGTTAAGGTGATTTATTAACTATTGATACATTATATTTCTAATTCGCACCATTTATTTTTTTTGTGTGAGTTGGCACCTCTTATTATATTTTAACAATCATTGTTCTCTTTTTTTAACATTAGTTAAAAATGTTACGACAACCAACACAAAGTGTAAAGAACATCATTTTAAAGGGATATTGATTTTCCTCAATAGCGTTAAATAAAATTTTTGGAAAAAATTTGTCTTTTCACAACAGATCCTTGTTCAAATCTATTCAGGTGCATTTAATTTAACTTTATTTTGATTTTAATATCACATTTAATTTAATATTAGTTAAAATATAACATTTCTATAAAGTTTCAAACAAATTTAGGAATAGAATAAACCAATAATTAAAAAAAAATTCTAAAGACTGAGCTAAACTAATAATAATAAAGAATGATAATTACTTCATCTATATAATGCACTTATTTTTAATTATAATAAAATCTGAAAAAGGAAGCCAAATTTTTTCTTAGTCAATTTTTGGTCTAGGTTTTCGTAAGAAATATTTAAATATTATAAATTCATATATTTCGCGCGTATGCAGAAACTAAAATAACAGTCATTTTTTCCCCCTAATTATTTTATATTACAAATAACATTAATTCTTCTTAAAATATATACAAGTATAATTTGTTTGCTTTTACAGCGTTTTAAAATAAAAGTTCCTCGTTTATTTATCTAATAACATTTAGTTACACAAAAATTACAGATTTCAATCGATACACGCTGTCAAATTAGGTACCAAGTCTTCATGAAAATCTTTATACTATGCAAAATAAATTGCACTAATTTGGCGTATATAAGCACCAGTTTATAGAATCAATTTTTTTTTAATCTAGCTTAAGTTTATTTTGTCCAAGTCAAAGTAATTAGTTAAACATGTTAGGTATATTAGAAAAAACAGTAAGTTTATCAAAACAAAGGTTCCATTTATGTTAAAAAAAAAAAGAAGCCTTGTTTATTGATATTTTACTAAAATTGGATTGTTTACATTTCCAAATTGAATCCAGTAAAAAGAAAAAAAAAAAAAAAAGAAAAGGCTATTATTAGGCTATTAAATTGTACATCCAACTGAAAATGTTTAATATAAAATTTCGTTTATAGTTTTTTTTCTGAAGCACATGCTGATATTCTGACAACTCAATATGCAAGTTAATCAGAAATTAAAGAAAAACAAAAGCAAATAAAAAATGTACAATAGGTTAAACATAAATGATTATAATTAAAAGTTTATATTATTTACAGTGATCATCTATAAGACGTGGGTGCATCTCCTGTGTATCCACCAGATTAAATAATAAGTTGAGGAATGAAAAATGGGTTTTCAAGAATATAAAAATCAAGGTTGTTAATTAATGATTAATAAAAACTGATGAAAATTACACCAATGTGTTGTTCCCATGAATCAACGTAATGCAATTTTTTAAATATAAATACGACATTCTAGAAGAGTGGAAGCAACTTCTCACAACCAGATGTCAAACCAATAACTTGTTTTGCCAATCAGAGTAGAGTAATTGTCATAGTACAATTAAGAACATTAGCATTTAAGATTTTTTGAGTTACTTCTTACCTTAACTCAGATTAAATTTTTTTATGAGTGGTTTTATTACTACTTACTTTGTTTGTGGTGATGTTTGTTTTAATGTTACAATCCAATGTCAATTAATGGTCAAAAAAGTAAATTCCAGTCATGTAAATTTACTAAATTAAATCCATTTATCAACAGTATTTTTGCTGAAATAAAAAAAGAAAAGAAAAATAACATGGAAAAAAAAAAATTTTCAAAATCACCATAACTACACCGAGTTCACAAAACATTTAATATTTATAAAAGTAAATATTGTCACTTTTCCAGATAATGTAAGCTTGAGTTAAAAATATATATTATACCTGAACTTCCAAAACTCTTTGGAGTGGAAAGGGCAGCAAACCTAACAGAATTACTGATTTCATAACTATGAAGAAATCGAGTAGCTTCCTCAACTGAATCGCAAATGCAAGGCTTGGTGTTGTCTAAAACTTTAAACTCATTGAGATATTATATTATATTAATAATCATATCAAAGAACAAAAAAAAACAAAAAACCTTTCAAAGTTGTAGCGTCTTCTTCTACTTTATATGTATCAGTAATGTCTTCATAATTGGACAAATCTGAACCAGAGCTAAAAAAAATTTAATAATCTAGAATAATGAATAATAGCTTTTGCTATTTTACTTATTTTACAGTGATTTTGATTAATAATTAAAATTCATCAATAAACTTTGTGACGAGGAGAGCAAATAAGTAAAACTAATCATTTAAATGATGTTCAGTTTTAGAAGCTGATAAGGATACACGTGGCAGAGCTAAAGTAAAAGGCTGCAAATTCAAATCATTGTGTTACTTGTATACCGAATCCCAGGCTCTGTAAAACCAAAATCTAAACCCCATGTTGCGAATATAAAGCATGGCTAATAACATACTTTTGAAAGTTGAAAATGAAATATAACTAGCAACATATATATAAAAAGATTATTTATTTTTTTATTAGTTACTAATGGCATCATTAGTTATGTAATAATGTCATTAAGACATAACAAACTACGTAGATGTTAGTCAATGACAAAACCCATTTTTTAATACACAACTTGTTGAATTATGCTATAAAAAAATTATGGAAAATGACTGAGATAGTATTGATATTAAATGAGATCCAGTGGTCAATTACATGTTCTAAGAAAAAATGTTATCTGATTTGAGTTAAGAAAATTGTGCTTTACCAAACCAAAAAGGTTGCCATTTCTTCTTTTGTTTTTCACTGATTCAAAGAATATCTTATAGAATTGACCTATAAACCTCATACATTATCTTGTATACTTCTTTTAGGTCAAATCTGTGTCATTGTTGTTCAAGTGTCTATAAACCTAATTTAAGTATTGTCTGTATATGGAAGATGTTTTGCAACTATTATCAATTTGCTAATCCCATGATGTACTTTTTAGATTATCTTTTTAATAATCTTCGACATAAAAAGATGACAGAGTGATGCAAAATATTCCATGTGTGGATTTACTAATAAATTATCAAGTTTCAACACATTATTAGAGTGCTCGTTATATTTAACTCTGATATATTTAATACATTTAACAAACATCAAAGTTAGATACACAAGCTCTAGGAGGGTGCATTATTAACCAACTTAAGTTAAATTTGCATTTATTTGAAAAAAATTTGTCCAACATGTTTAAGTCTTAAAAGATAATGAATATATCATAACAGATTATAATTAGGGCATGGTTGTGATAATGTCATGGGCCATGGTTACAACAAGATCTATGTTCAGGGCCAAAAACTAGTGAAAAAACTAAAATAGTCCTTGTTCTTGGTACCAAGAACGAAGCCACATATTTCAAACTTTAAATTAAAAATGTAAATAGTTCTAAAAATGTAAATAGCTCTAAAAAATGTCCTGTATCTTGTAATAGATAAAAAAAAAAAAAACGTTCATAATTATTAAAAAAAACAAACCTTTTTATAGAATTATTTACCTTATTGACATTATTCTATTTACACAAAAATGTTAACTAAATCAAAGACAATGAAGAATTGAATGTTATGAAAACAAGGCACCGTGATATTGACAAAACAACAATTATAAAATCACAATAAGATTAACGGTTTCAAAACAGATTTAACAGTGGCAATTAGAACAATATTGAAGTTCACTTTCGTTCCTAAACGGCTGTAAGAGTAACATGTGCTCTCGAAGCTATTTTTAGCATATTTTATTTAATTTTGCATATGTAATTTCCGCATAACTACGTATAATTTTCAAGTGGACTTTGATTGCCTTTTGAGTGATACTTTCGTTCGATAACCTATTCCTTCTCTGTATGAGAACTTAGTTTTAGGTTCATTCACTTTACAATCAAGAATATTTAAGCAAACCTTTAGAAATCCTCCTTCCCTATCTATTCCAACCTTTACAATATAATCTGGTGATATATCTTTTTTGATTAATTAGCTCAGACATTTATACAGTTGACTAAATATTTTGATTACTTATTGATTTGAAGTTCTGCAACATTAAAGAAACGATCTAAAACACAGTCTTGAAACACAAGATTTTTTTTTTAGATTGGTATCAAAAAATCTTTTACTATCCAGCTCCTAAGAACACTACAAGCAGTTCCAGCTCCTAAGAACACTACAAACAGTTCCAGCTCCTAAGAACACTACAAGCAGTTTCAGCTCCTAAGAACACTACAAGCAGTTCCAGCTCCTAATAACACTACAAGCAGTTCCAGCTCTTAAGAACACTACAAGCAGTTCCAGCTCTTAAGAACACTACAAACAGTTCCAGCTCCTAAGAACACTACAAGCAGTTTCTGTTTGTCGCTTAACCCTTGTACATTTTTGAAGTTTTGTGACTTCACTAGCTGGCACCTAGTTTTCAGAGAAAAGGGCTTTCAACTCTGTTTTCTTTGGAATTTTGATAATAAAAATTTTAGGCCCTTTGCTAGCAAGCTTTATTGAATCACCTGCATCCACTTCAGATAGTTTTCGCTTTAGGATTTTAGTACAAAAAGGCTCTGTACCTCTCTCATCTAAAATATATTAATATATTTAATATAATAATCTTATCTAAATATATTAATATATTTAATATCCTTATATATTATATCTTTAACATCATAAACTGTTTGAACCCACGTAATACTATATTTTATTGGTTTTAACGTAAATTATTATTGCACAAGTGGTTTTAGATTAAATAATTATTATATTTTTACATACTGACATACCTCTAGACAGAGCCGCCTCAAGATTATCCTACGAATTGAAATATTGCAAGAGTGAGGTAAACCAATTCTAATGTACATATAATGAAATTAATTCCCTCTGGAAAATTATTTCTAACACTCGTTTAGAATAATGATTAACAATCGCAGTACAAGCAATTCTCTTTGGAGACCTATATGAAAAACTCTCTATAGCAATTGCTAAACTATTCCCCCAGAGAAAAGTTCCGCACAAGAAAGTTGGAATAAACAAGTAAACTTGTTTTGTAATGGTTTAATACATATATAAAAATAAATGAAAAACCAACATTAATTCTCTTTCCTATAAACAAGAATACAAAACATCGTATATTTGTTCTTAATAAATTTTGACACATAAAAACGTATATTAAAATGTTTGCCTGTCTATTGTGAATACTTTAAAGCTTTTCAAAATGTGTAATAGTCATCGAACAATTCATGATCGAATAAATTACTTAATGGATATACAAGAAAAAATACTGGCTTTTTCGGTTTACAAAAATGTCTTTTTTTTTCTTGGACATCGAAATTTTATTTCAAAGGTGTTATTTTCTGAAAGTAGAGGTCCCCCCGGATAAAATCCCCCCGAAAAAAATCCCCCCGATATAAAATAAAATCCGGAAAATATCGCCCCCCCCCCCCTCCAAAAAAAAACAAAAAAAACAAAAAAAGTTTTTTTAAATTAAAAATTACCAATAAAGTAGTTATATTTATTTTAAATAGTTTTATAAAATACTTCATTTTTCATCAAAATGTCAAGTTATGCGCTATTCCTTGGTTGTTGGTAAAATGCGAACTGCGAACTGCAAACCGGTAAAATGCGAACTTTTTTTGCAGAACAAAACATTAAAGACCATTATTTTTATGATAAAAATCATATTAAAAAAACTTTCCAATTCTTAATTATCTATTTTAAAGCTTTATTTAGAATAAAATTTTTATTTTTAACGGTAAAACATGCGCGGAGTGTTGCTATATTAACCATCTTATAGCCTGACTCGCAATAGAGTGCTGCTACATCGACTCACAAATAGCCTGACTTGCAACGGAGTGCCGCTATATTGACTGAGTGTTTGGTTTGGGCAGGCAGTCTATCAAATAATTACAAAAATATATATATCTTTTCATATTGTATTCGTCTAGTTTTACTTAATTTCCTTTAATAATTTTTTCGCTTAAAAGTCCTTAAAATATACCACTAAATTAACTACGATGGTTCGCAAAAAAAAATCACATTTTGTCAAATAATTTTGTCAAAAAAAAAAAAATCGCAGTTTGTCCGAGTTAGGGTTTCACATTTTCTACCTTCGAGGAATAGCGCAGAACTTGACATTTTGATGAAAAATAAAGTATTTTATATAAATATTTAAAATAAATGAAGAAATAAACATAACTACATATTGAAAGTTTTTAAGAAAAAAAAAAATTTTTGGGGGATATTTTCCGGGGCGTTTATTTCGGGGGGATTTTTACCTAGAACCATATATATATATATATATATATATATATATATATATATATATATATATATATATATATATATATATATATATATATATATATATATATATATATATATATATATATATATATATATATATATATATATATATATTATCGCAATAACAAAATCTTTACTTTCAAATAACTTGACACTTTTTATAAAATAAGTTCAAACCATAACTTAGTTTCACCTCTTTTAATTTTTATACAGTACTCTCTCGCTTGATTGCGCATATTGAAACAGGCAACGCGGTACGCAATTAACTAGGAGTGCGCACATAAGAAAAAGATAAGAAAAAATTTAGCAAATTAAATTATTAACTTAAAGGGTTGTTCATTAATTACGTCAAGAAAATAGGGGGAGGGAGTCTAAACATTTTTTGACAATTGTTGGAGGGGGAGGTCAATTAAAGTTGATGTCAACAACTTTTTTTTTTGAATTTCATTGCTTATATAACGAAAAATTAATAACGTAATTAATGGACAGTCCCTAATAACTATTATAAGCTTTAAATTCTTTTTCTTTTATATTTAATTTTTGCGCTATTTCTTTTGCTTTCATAATTGCTAACGATGGAGGCACTTCAATCTTCGAACGACGCAATTCATCAATCCAAATATATAGCTCATTTTCTATTGCTTCAAATTTTCCAGACGATAATCGAAACTTTTTTTCTAGCTTCTTCTGTCATTAGTAAACTTCTTTTTACTATTTGAACTCGATTATTCCAGAGAGATCAAATTGAATTTTCAGGTACATTATATTCTCTTGCTTGCTTGGCGCATTATTTTTTTTAAGTTTAGCAATAATTTCGACTCGATCTTCTGATAATCTTTTTCTTTTGACTTTAGCCATAAGAAGTAAGGATAAAAAAGTTGGAATAAGAGAACTGTGAATAAACGACTAAATTTAAAATGAAGTTTTTTTTATCTATTTACATTCTGATAAAATCATTATCTCAAAATATTTATGATAAAAACCAGTTTTTTAACTTAACACAGGTAAATAATAGTTACGTTTTCTGATCTAATTACACTTTCAACAAAAAACTCAGTAAAAAATAGAAGCACAAATATTTTGGGTCTAAACGCGCAATTAACTGGCATTAAATAATGCGCAGCGGCGGATCCAGGACTCAGTAGTGAGAGGTTATGCTTGGAGGTTTACTGAGGGGAGGGTTTGGAACGGGTTATCCCCTCCCAAAAATTTATGTGAGACACTGGGCAAACTCACTTGGTATGGAGTGACAAGTGCAGAATTTGTATGTAGCGAACCACTCGGCAAACTCACTTCACAGGCGTCGTCAACTGTTGTACTTGTAGGACTGGAAAATAAACAAAAAAGAACACGGCGAATACCCTTCTAACATTTTGTAGCATCACCGCCACTGTAAGTCAAGATTAGACGAATTTGTGAATTAGTCACCTTTTATTTTTGAATTAAGTCACCTTTTATTTTTGTCCACACAAAACCCATTTTGAGTGGGTATTGACAACATTAGATTTAGTTACTTTACATAAACAAATAAAAAACAATTGAAAAAAAACTTTTAAATTTTATAAAAAAAGTTGTAACCTTTTTTGTAAAAAATAGTCTGTCATCTTAAGCCTTTTTGCTTTTTCCATAATATATTAAGATACTAAATACAGGCGATTTTAAAACAAGGCGATTCAACACACATATACCGGAACTTACCTCACGTGCAAAACGGCAACCAATTTGATTATGTTTTAAAACGTTTTGATTGAAACCACTACAACGCACTTGTTCGAGTAAAAAACTTTTCCAAGTCTGGTGGGGGGTAAAGCCTAACCCACATTGCCCCCCTGCATCCGCGCCCAACCCATTGGGTGCGCAATTAAGCGAGAGGCTACTGTAATTAATAAGAAATTCAAATTATAAAATATAAAAACTTTATAACTATAAATATTGAAGTTAACAACTTTTTTATTCTTATTTAAAAATAGGCTGTTCCAAAAAAAATATATAAATACTAATATAAAAACTAAATACGGAGTTCATTACTATTAAAACGTTTGTCAAATATATTTCATTAACAGATAAACTTTAATATATTACTAATAGTATAAAAATCAAAAAATTAAACAACTCGTTTGCTTTTTTTCTAACTTATTCAAACAGATTGCAATATTATGTTTTGTTGTTACTGTATTCGTATGGTTGATACCCAAACTTTCACTTTGTATATTATCAACAGAATAATAAATTTCTAAAGCTTCGTTATATTTTCCGATTTTGTTTAAGCAGTTTGCGATATTATTTTTTGTTGCCATTGTATTCGGATGGTTGATACCTAAAATTTCAGTTTGAATTTTATCAACAGAATAATAAATTTCTAATGCTTCGTTATATTTTCCCATTTTGTTTAAACAGTTTGCGATATTATTTTTTGTTCCCATTGTATTCGGATGGTTGATACCTAAAATTTCAGTTTGAATTTTATCAACAGAAAAATAAATTTCTAAAGCTTCGTTATATTTTCCCATATCACCGAAACTGTTAGCGATATTATTTTTTGTTGCCATTGTATCCGGATGGTTAATACCTAAAATTTCAGTTTGTATTTTATCAACAGAATAATAAATTTCTAAAGCCTCGTCATATTTTCCCATTTTGTTTAAACAGTTTGCGATATTATTTTTTGTTGACATTGTATTCGAATGGTTGATACCTAAAATTTCAGTTTTTATTTTATCAACAGAATAATAAATTTCTAACGCTTCGTTATATTTTCCTATATTATTGAAAGAGTTTGCAATATTATGTTTTGTTGCTATTGTAGAGGGATGGTTAATACCTAAAATTTCAGTTTTTATTTTATCTAAAGAAAAATAAATTTCTAAAGCCTCGTTATATTTTCCCATATCGCCCAAACAGTTTGCGATATTATTTTTTATTACCATTGTATCCGGATGGTTGATACCTAAAACTTCAGTTTGTATTTTATCAGCATAATAATAAATTT